CTATGAAAATGATGACCATGCTGATGATGTGTGCAATGGAGATGATGCTGATGACAATGGGGCGCCTGTGTGCGCGATGGTGATGTCTACTTTGCCGGTGGCATAGATAGTTCCGTGCATACATGAGCTGCTGTCAACAGTGTTTGTATACATGCTGCCACGCCATGCCAGGCCATACATGGTTACATACATGCATACCTACCTACATGCATACCTACATATACGTATACACGTGTGCACAGAGACGTCCGTCCATCCATCCGTCCATCCATCCATCCAGACGGGCAAACAGACAGGCAGACAGAGACAGACGCAGACAGGCACAGACAGACACAGACCGACACGGACAAACACAGACCGACACGGACAGACACAGACAGACACAGACGGACACGGACCGACACAGACAGACACAGACCGACACAGACCGACACAGACAGACGACAGCCAGCCAGGCAGCCAGGCAGCCAGCCGGCCAGCCAGGCAGGCAGACACACAGAGACAGACAGACAGACAAACAGAAGACAGACGACCAGTCAAACAACCAGCCGGCTGACCAGACGGACGAACCGACAGACGAGCAAACGGACCAACAGAAAGAGGAACAGCCAGACGAAGAGACAGACTAACAAACAAACAACAGACATGCTGTGCCCTGCCGTGCCCTGCCCTGCCCACTCCCCTGCCCTGCCCTGCTCTGTGCCCCACTCTGCCATCCGCCAACGCCTGCCGCCTGTCTGCTGTCTGCCTGCCTGCCGAGCGACGGCAGCGGCCTGCCTATCAGACATATATGGCCCGAGTGTTACGTAGATGTCTGTCGCCTTGTGTTGGTGTATAAAATTGTATGTAGACTTAAAAAGTATATCGCAGACACACAGACAATGCAGTCACTGAGCAACGCCAGGCGGCAATCTTGCCCTTCGGATCCTCCAAGAAGACCATTGGCATTACGGACGACCTCAAAGAAGCTCCGCCACAGCTTGATTCGGCTCCGCGAAAAGGTCACCCCATCGCCACCCCGAGTATCTCAAGACTCTGCTGGGTCCGAGGCTTGCCGCAACCCGTCTCCCCCTGGATGCAGATGACCTGTGAACGCCTGAGCTTCTATACCGTCGAAGCAACCAATGGAAGATCACGGAAGGGCAGATGGAATGATCCTTACATAGAGGGTCAGCTACGGATTGCATCAGTTTGCCCCACCCTGCTTGTTGGATGCATTGCAAGAGTGTACTGAAGCTCGGCGAACCTCAAGGCATCTCGGACTTCCTGCGCAGCTGTCCATGCCGGCCTCGGCACCGGCCCTTGTTTTGGCTCTTCTTTGCGACTGCGATAGCAGATGATGGCAGCCAAAGCGCAGCTCGCTAAAGCTCGGCGCTCGCGGAGCCCCAGATGCCTCGCCTGTTTGCAACAGATCCCAAAAGAGTCCAAGCAAGCCAGTGCCAGCTCGAACTTGTCGCTTGGCTTGCACTGCTTGCACTGCCTTACATTCTACGCTAAAAACGGTCCGAAGGTCCGAAGTGCCTGCAGGGTACAATGGCACACTCTTCGGCCTCACAGCGAAAAAAAAAGGGGCTCTCAGAAAAGCGCTACGCGGCCACACCGCCACGCAAGCAAATCGCAGAGTCCGAGCTGCGCCGAGCTTTGCCGAGCTCCGCGCTGCCCGGGCTCCGCCGTTGCACTCGGCCCGCTTGGCCTTTCGGAGATGGGGCTGAGATGCCCTGCCTTTAGCCTCCAGCATTTGTGGAAACTCCGACGTCTGCGAATCTGTGGCTGCTGCGACGCTGAGAAATCTGCATCGAACTTTCCTGTCATGGAACGCGGGAGGTCGAAAAACAGATCGAGCGTCACCAAAACTCTCTTTTTCATGAGCTTCTTCACAGAGCGGATGCATACTGTAGCATGGCCCTGGCCTTTGCCTTTCCCTTTGCCTCCGCCTTTCTTTCCTGCAGCAGATCAACTGCCCGAAGCTGCAGTTTGAGATGTGACGACATGCACCTAACTGCTTCACAGATCCAACTCGCCTGCATTGTCCTGCCAGCTGCCGCTTCCAGTGCCACCACCTCCCTGCCAGTGCTTCTTGTGGGTGAAGCTCACTGACTCTGACTGGCATCTTGCCAAGGGTGTCAAAGGGACATCGAACATCCCACAGCATCAGGTTCTTGTTACTGCACCTGTCCGGCACTCTGGCATACAGCAAACACCTGCCTTGCCAGCGCCGAAGCCACCTGGCATCCGTGCGCAAATCGTCTGGGCTCAACAACCAAGCTAAGTGAGAGAGACGGTGAGAGAGACAAACAATGCAGACATCTACAGGAATTTACAAGCGCAGACAATTGCCATACTGTGTACATGCACACATGCTGCATGCATCAACACGGACTCGCATGCTTGTTTCAGCAAAGTCTGCGCCGCACAGACGGGAGCAACGAATGTAAAATGCACAAAACATATGACATATGGGCACAGTATGCACATATATCTGCTGAGAACTAGCACTCTGTGGATCGAGAAAACAAGCGAAGGGCAGGGCTTTGTCAAGACACAGTCTGAGTTGCGACACATCGTTTGCAAATGCACAAGACTGATCAGCTGCGTGAGTGCAGTGCGCTCTGTATTGCAACACACGGTGGCCGACATGGTTGACCTTTGCCCGTAGTTTCGGGGTACTAGTTTCGGATCGGCTGCCGGGGGTTTTGGATCGGAGTGGGGCTCGCCGCCCAGTTTCGGGACACAGGTCACTTTCGGACGGCGGGGCGGGCAGTTTCAGTCCGATTCTTGCAGGCCTGGGCCTGAAACAGACCATGGCGTGAGACGGAAACCGACCATGTCCTGATCCGAAACTATCCCGGACCATGTTCCGAAACTCCGCCCCGAAACTGACCTCGAAAACCCTGCAGCTCACAACTGCCCATGGTTCACGCACTGGTAAGAGTATCGATGCATTTATACAAGCGCATCCACGATGCCGTCTCAACATGGAGAGACTCCGAAACAGAACATACACGACAATACTACGTGTGCTGCATGCTTTGCCACTTCAGAAAATGACCCAGGCTCTGGAAGGATGGTTTGGTACAAAGATTGCTGTGGCAGCACACCTTTACCTCCTTTGCCGCCACCCATGACGAAAGAAGTCACAAGATGCGAGCCAACATGACGGCGGGGCACTCCACTCTCTGTATTTCTTACTCCTCGCTTGCGCGCGACTTTAGCCCTACTTGAATGAAGAGGTGCGCCTGCTGCGGAATCTGGTTTGGCTGAACAGGGAAGGTTCAAGTGCCCGAGCTAACTTATGCTCAAACCCTTTAGCCTTTATCGCTTTAGCATTGCAGCTTCCAGCTTGAGCCGAACCAAGCACATGAAGGTTGACTGAGCATGGGTCAGTGAGGAGTTCAGAGTGGATTTACTGTTGCCTGCAAGTCCAAGGCTGGGTCTTCAGCCTTTCAGCCTAGACAAGTGCCGCATCTAACGTCCCCATCTCCTCTAAAACTATGCACCGAATCCCTGCTTCAGCAAGTGAAAACCATGCGGAAAGACACTATCACCAAAGTCTCACATTGGATTCGACACCAGTTGAAGTACGGCTCCCTCCGACATGAACCTCTCGCTGCCCGTCAGTCCCTGTAAGCTCAACCTGACCGTCTTTATCAAGCAGACATTCTGAAAGCCCTGTCTATCTTTCTTGCATTAAAACATGCCTCAACTTATCATCGAAGGCTGCATTCGTCACGAGCCTTCGCTGCACTCGAGCCATCACCAGGATCATGCACGGGTTCCTCATTGCCTTTACTTCAACCACATGACTGTCATAACGCTAGCATATGATACCCTACTCCGAGTCTCCCAGCTGAACATGCCGGCTATCCTGCATCGGACTTCGAATGCACACTGCTCTTGTATCCTGCTATGCGCGCACGAGATTTGGTGAAACGAGTACATGCTTCCAATTTTGGAAGGATCGAGTCGCGTCGAGTCTAAACCCAGGCAACTCACACTCAGTTTTGGCATGCCGGTTGGGAGGACCTTCAACGTTAGCACACAAAGAAACAAAGAAGCTGCAACGCACTGCCCTGGCGAAGCCTGGTGCCAGGCCGCCAGGCCCAGTCACTATGCAAGGACGCAACAAGCCTCGACTCGACGAGCGATAAGTTGCAGGGGAAGTTGAAGACTTCTAGAAGCACCAAAGTTGCTACCAAGAAGCTTGCTTCCCTCTTCCTTGTGAGACAGGTTCCTCCTCGCAGGGCATGACTGCAAGGCCCCGCATGCCTCCGTTTATCTTTCGGGTATAGCGCCCCCGCGGTTCGGGACCAGGCCACGGGTTGGAAGCCATTTCCCCTTTGAGCGAGTTCGAGACACGACGGGTATGGCGGAAACGGCTCGGGAGAGATGAGTTCTCTCGACTCCATCTTCAGCCGCAGGACTGTCCTGGGGTACAAAACCAGCCCCCACCAGCTCTTTTTCGAGCTCCCTCGCCTGCAGGCAACGCTCACAACCTAGCAAGATCCAGCAAGTTCGCCAGGACTCGTGCAGAGCCGTGGAGCCTCTTGCACCACCCTCGCTGTCTTGTCAGAGATGGAGCCGGTTTCCAGGTCGATTGCCTAGCCGAGAGGCCAACGAACACTCTGAGCTTGTGCGCTCGTGCAGCCTCCTCGAGCTCCATTGCCAAGTCGTGCAGCTGCGTCGCAGCTACGAACGACGAGGATCCCATCACCTGAAGTTTGAAGTGGGGCATGAGCTGCTTCCAAGGGGTGGGGTGCAATGCGAAATGAGCCTGCTGTGCAGCTTCCTGCAACCTGTTAAAGTCCTTGCCCAGGAGCGCCTCGAGTCGAAGACGCGCTCGCGTTGACTCTCGCTGAGATTGACCATTGCCGATGCTCGCGCCTGCTCCATCTCGCACACTTTCCGCCGCAGATCCTGAGCACAGAAGCTGCTGGTCACCCCTCGTAAAGGTTCAAGTCGTTTGAGGTGATGCACGACATCACCCCTCATCAGAGCCCCGATCACTGCCCTTCCACATCAAAGTCCAGACGAGCGTCCGCGGGATATTCTGCAAGAAATGCTCGAAGCTGCTCCTCTCGCTGGTGATTCCCCATTGCCCTGGCAAGACTCTTACAGGATGAGCAGCCATGGGCATCTTTGCATATCTTTGCATGATCAAGGGCATCATATAGTATGCATGCCCAGACGCATCAAGTACCGCAACCAATACAGCGACGCGGAAGCAACCCAAGCAGCCACTGTTTCTTGCTGGGCATGCCGACATCGGTTGTTGAAATGTCGGCTATGTATGGCTATGTGTGCTGACTCGATTAGGCCGCTTGGTGCATTGCTGGCTTTCGCCATTTGCAATCATCAGCCTGTCTCGGCTCTGAAAGATAGCCCCAAGGGGAAGCGAGCCTCTCAATGGATGACCGCATGCCTGCTCGTCGGCTGTCAAAAAGCACGAGGATCCGGGGTGGCGAAAAACGACAACCAATAACCGTGGTTCCTTTTCCTGTGCAACAAGATGCCTGCTGACAAGAGTATCAAGACAATTGGCAAAAGAAGCCTCCGATTGGTGTGTGGGACTTCCCACGCGGCTCGACGAACACGGCGGGCGGATCGATCGGCTTTTGTCCCTTCGCGGTTGGATTTTGTCGAAGCACAGGCCGCCAGGCGCCTGTCCTGGAGCTGTCTGTCCACGATATCGTGAGTTTAGTGGCGACGAGTAAGGCTCTTCAATGTTTTGACGGCCTTGGTCCACTGTGTTGGAACACGCACACACCCAAAACTGCAACCTTTCGTTCACCAGGGGCTGTTGTGTGCGCACCTGGCCAACAGGCACCTCGCTGCACCCCCAAGTAATTCCCGCGCTCTGCTCTGACATGATTTCTCAGCATATGCTCCCCCTCAAGTAGTCCACCGCAAGCACATCGATTCAGCCGGAATGCAACAGCCTTGTCCAATCCATGTGTCGCAAGACAGGTTCGCACGGGCGAGTGTCATCTGACATCTGCCTAGCAGGTGCTTGGGATTCGCTTTTCCAAGAGGAGACCTAGCAAGGCCTTCGCCGTGTCAACAGCAGCCCCGGCGATGTCCCCCATTGCGACTTGAGCACCGATGCTGCCGCAGACCAGATTCTTCGAATGGACGGTGACGGATGCTACAGCTGCAAAGCTGCAACGTCGAGGAGCTGCTGAGCTTCGCTTGCTTTCCTTTCATGCTGGAGTCGCCTCTTCAGCCCCTGGATCGACTGCACACAGCATCGGTTCAGGCGCCAACTCTCTGAGACTCTGGACAAAGCTCACAAAAAAAACACTGCAGAGCATACTGCAAGCATGCTCGCAGAATCTGACTGTGACGGCCGGCGTGCTGCGTAGAAAGCTCACCGTGAAGTATCACAGCATCTACGTCGCTTGGTAGAGCTCGCCACCATGCCAAAGCTGCAGCAGCACGAGCGGTCTTCTTAGATGTCCGGCGGGTCCACCGAGGTCTCGTTCGTTTGCGGATTCCTGGCCACGATCAGGTCTGTGAGTTTGCGATATTCGTTCAGGACAACTCTCAAACTATCATGCTTGCTACCCTGCAACGTGGCGTCCTGGACCGAAACCTCGAAGCCTCGAAGATGAAGTTTATCTCAACCGTCATCCACGAATTTAGTTCATCCGAATCTGAAGCCTTTAAAAGAACTGGGATTGGTTGTATCAAATGGCAACATTCCAACAGCAGTCCAGTAGAAGTGGATGCTTGGATCTCGTCTTGATCGCTGCCTCACCCATGGCTCTGGAGGTTCCACCTCAGGCTGTGGACTGTGTACATGGCGGCAGGCTAGGCTGCCACAGACTGCCTGCGTCTCGTTGGTCACCATGTTGATGTAGTAAAACACGCCAGCCTAGCGTGACGTGACATTGGTGGCAGAACCGCCAGACTCTGATGACAAGAAGCCTGTCTGGTCGATTCCTTCCTTTTCCAAGCCAAAAGAACCTGCTCGTGTCGACGTGTCGACGGCAACTTCGACTATGCTAATATTTGCACGTGCCTTGTCATGTGTCGTTGATGCGGGTGGTGGCTGCCCACTTTGCTCTGCTAGCCGCAGTCTGGCCAGAGCCAAAAGACCGTGTAAGACCTCCCTCCTCTCTTTCTCAAGTTCCCTTAGCACGAGCCCCACACTTATACCATGACGAAGCCCACACGTAAGTGCACTGGCAACTGATGCAGTGGTTGAAATGGGTTGCCACTTTGATGGTCAAAGCTCTCAAAGCTGGAAGCCCCCGGAAGTGTGCCTCTTTGCCTCCGGTTCTTGAACTTCGGTCTGCTCTTTTGGTGGTTCTTTTGGAGCCTTCCACTTGCCCCAGGCATCGTCGTCTGACTCAGCCTCTTCCTCCTTTGGTGCTTGCGACCACCTGTCGTTCGAACTCCATGGCGTGTTATGCGACCATTTCGAGGACCAGGACGTCTTCCAGTGGTCTGTCTCTTGCCAGTAACCTGACGATGAGGAGGAACCCCAGGTCTGATGCCCAGCCTGGCTTGCCTTGCGAAGCTGCATGGTGCTGCACGTGCTGTATCCCCTGCATCCCGACAAAAAGCCTGTGCACAAGAAAAACTTCAAGCAGCAGAGCCTGTCGTTTGTTCTTGGCTTGGAACTCATGCGCTTCCGCTTCCAGAATCTTTGAAGCATTGGCAGGAGCATCGCGGGAGAGCAAAAGCTTTGTTGATGCCTCATATTGCCTGAGATACAAAGCACGTCCGAATTTCATCTTCAAATGTGAGACTGAGCTTCTGACTTGAAGATCATCTTCAAGCCAGCATGCTGCCTGCGAAAGTGCGCAAATCAATCAAACCGTCGCCGCTAGAATCGACCACATGGAACGACTTGATTTCTGCAGCTGTGCAACTTCCTGCCTTCTAGACAGAAACAATGGGCATTCATCCTGCCAATGTGTGGGACACTCTGCCAGCTTTCAGCTACTGAGCAGCTAGTCGCAGTGTGGCACACCTTCGTACGTTCCAACTGCAGGTCACAGAGCAATTGACCCAGATCTTGTGGCAACGGGGATGTTGCCTGCACAAACGCAAGATGCAAATGCACCAGCCGTGCCACCGGGATTCGGCAAAGCCTCGAACCATCGATTGGTGAATGGCTCCCGAAATCGAGTCTGCGAAAGTGCACCGTGCTTGCCATGTCAACAACTTTCCCGGCTCTGGGTTGCATCAAGTCAAGGCCTCATAGGAGTGCAGGAATACCCTTTTGGCCCAGTCTCGATCTGACTGCCTGCTGCATGATCGTCCAAAGAGCAGAAGAAGACGATGCAACACACAAGAACCAACAGCGATTCGGCCCGTTTAATTGAGTACCGCACGGAGCGCCGTACGTGCAGTCTCCAACGATCGGATAGCCAATGGCACTAACATGGAACCTTTCCACAGCACTCGCTGTCGAAGCTATCCATACTGGGTGCAGGTGCACCTGATCTGGTGAGTTCGTCCTGGGTAGCCGGCGTGCTAATATCTCCTATGACCGGGTTTCCCATGTCTTCCTAGCTCCGGCACAGGTTGGCTCTCAGGACCCAGCCGGTCACAATCTGCAGATGCAGCAGCGTAAACCTGCATCTGTCTGCATCATACCCGAAAGCGAATCCGCTGCAAACAGCAAAGACTTCTGGGTGACGGACTGCTCTTGCTTTTTGTCGATAAACCAAGCCACAGGATTATAGAATGTGACTGCATGAAGCCGTTTTCCTTGAATCTCTCCTGAGGATGGAAATTCAGTGTAAGCCGCTTCACGTTCTGTCCGTGCTTGTCCGTGCTCCTGGTTCTCTGCCCTCCTCGCCATCTGCACTGCCTGGAACAGAAAACACACGCATGCATTGTCTCCACCGCTCCGCCAGCATCCGCCAGCCTTTGCCATGTCCGTTCTGCTTAAACTCCTTTCCCTTGCCCTTGGGCTCAGGATTGGGATTCCCGTCGTTGTACGCAACTGCTCTCCATTGCCCCTGCCCACCAAGAAGATCAGAAGGAGTGCAGAAACCCGCAAACGAAATCTGTGCTAAATCGCGTGCCTGATCGAACCGCATGGCAATCTCAATTCGGCCACGTCCTTAGTCCGAGAAAAAGACATCCCGCGAAGATAAATTGTTCGCACTGCATGAACGGGCTGATTTGTCTCAAAAGTCCATCTGCTTACTGTAGCCCATGTAGTCCTTCTCCTGAGACCTCCCGTCCCGTAGCACTTCCGTTCCAATTTTTCAAGTTGAACTATGGCTATGCAGCCACTGTGCACCCGGCGACCGTGCTCGCGGCTGTCTGACGGCCCATGCTTCCAGTCCTGCGGTGAACACGAAACCTCAAGACACAACGAAAGCACAACAAGAAAGGATAAAAAACACAACTGCCTGAGTTGGTTCTGCCAGCTTGGTCGGAATTTGGACCTTTCGTGGGGCAAGGCTGCATGTCGCTTTGCGAGACATCGCTTGCAGCTTCTTGCAATGTTCGAGGCACATGTCCGCGGACCAGGGCAAAGTAGTACTTCTCTGTCCCTCCTTCCTCCAAGCTGTGCTCGCTTTGGAATTGCCTTTTGACCAACACCGGTTCCACTAGCCACTGCTTCTTGCACGTAGGCCACACGATGCAGCCGCGAAGCTTCCGGATTTCAGGAAAACCTTTCTTCGTCTTGGCCGCCACCATCACTCCGGATGTCTCCTCACTCCAACACTCTCCGATACAAAGGGCCAAACCTTGCCAACACTATGTGGTCCTTGTCGAGTCGATTGCAACAACCAGCCTGCATGCAAGCACCTGGACACACATGCAGCGGTCACTAACAAAGCATCAGAAAACATCATAGAGCTGCTTCACTTTTAGCACACAGTGGATCGCATTCTTAGGTTCGCTACAACACAGGATTTCTGACCACAGCCTCTCTAGCTGCGTGACGCAGCACTTGTTTCAAGTCGCCCCAGTAACGGACTGTCGCAGTATCAAAACAGCATGGCTTAACAGATCATCTACCTACCAACATAATCGTGGCAAAGTGACAAACATTTTCGGGTATCATGAAGTCGTACAAGCAGATAACGAAAGGTTCAAGCAGCAGGATGACAAGCTAGAGATCTCCAGCCCCTACATTGCACGGCATGATTGCCTCAGGCTTCAGGAGGAAAATGATCTCAGATCTCCTCCTTTACGCACAGGCTGTTGCTTGCTCGTGGGACCACGAACTGATGTAAGAGAGCAGCCGGACAGAGAGGCAAACAGGGAAAGACAAAGAGAGAGCTGGGAACCAACATTCGTGAAGTCTAAGCATTTTGTATGTGCAATCTACGAAATGCAGTGCCAACTTGCAGCTCGGGCACATATCGCACATTTTCCACATGTGCAGGGTTGAATCTTCAGGTCTTTCTGCAGCACCTTTGCATGGCATGCACGGAAGCACACTATTCTAGTGACACGTGCACCAAATGGCCTCAGCCCAAAAGTCCCGTGTGCCGAGAGCCGTCTCATAATCAAACTTGAGGGCCAAGTACTCGTGAATCTGGACAGTATCCTGCAATGCAGTCATGGTGTGGTGCCTGCACTGTCGTTGCAAAATGCACTCCGTGCTCTACTCCTGGCATCGATACATCATAATTAAGTGTAGGAAGTTTGGCGGAAATCAATGCTCAAGCGACACCTGATATCGCAGCCTGGTGGTTGGCTCATGCTGGTGTTTAGACGAAGCATGCAACAGCACATGACATGACGCAAGCAGCCCCTCTGAAGCGAGAGCAGCGCCTTGCTGCTGTTCAGCAGTTGGGTCGGCGTTTTCGCGCCAAACTGGCCCACAAGCTCGAGAGCGGCTCAAGACTACTACAGTAGCCAGTCGCGGAGGCAACACTTAGTTCCGGACCACTCTCGGCAAAGAGCTGTTGATGTTGCCACCGTACCCGCAGGTGAAGTTCACGGGCTTATCGACACACAGGAGCTCGTCCTGTGAACTGCAGTCAGCTACCGCAGCAACTTTGAATGGCGAATTGTAGCAGAAGAAGCCTATGACAGAAGGGGCTGTGTCATGACACGCAAACCAGGCACGTTCGACTAAGTGATGGGCATGGGGTCAATGGGACAGAACAAGGTTTTCCACATAACGACATGGCCGACGTGGACGCAGTGCAGGCATGTAAAACGGCCAAATGCCAACAGAAAGCTGTCACTGAATGTCATATTGAGACATTCCTGCTCTTAACCTGAAGCCTGAGGTCCGTGCTTCGAAGGCTGTCCCCAGAGCTACATATATGCAAGAGGCTGCTTCAACAGAATTCATCCTGAGAACATATTTCCACCTGTCGGGTGTGCTGACAGACACCAAGTAAGCATTTTCTAAAGCTGCAACACCATGGCGGGGTCCGTCTCGCCAAGCAACTTCGGAGGAAAATGCCGAGTTCGAACCATCCCGGTGAGAACGAAATAGTGATAGTTCTGTAGCACCTTCAGCAACTGAGGGCTTGAATCGTCAGGTGTCAAAAGCCATGCGAAATCTTGCCTCCAGGATCTTCGGTTCCAACACATGCTTTACACACCTGGCAAAGACGAGTACAAAGGCAACTGTACGCCTATACCGTTGATCGAGTGTCTGGTTGCCCGTAGCACTGCCCTAGCACCAATGCCAATGTCACTGGTACATGGTCGGTCAAGCCAGCCAAGTCCACGGGCCGTGGAACGATTCTGGGTGGAACCTCGGCAGGGACACAGATGCACGTTCCACAATCCACAGCCCCACATAAGACAAGTTTAAGTTTGACACAATTCGAACTCGATGATCTCCTCAATGGCCGATTGCTACTTATGCTACTTGCAGCGGTTTCCACATGCAACAACGACCCTCTCCTTCAGCATACCCTTGGCATTCTCCCAGGCAGCCTTGCGCTTAGGACTTGTCTTCGTGGGGCTGATCAGTTTGTAGATCTTCTTGCCGGTGCCTGCCACACTTCTTGTGCTTTCTCCGGGTCGGCTGGAAAGATGCTAAGCTGCAGACTCCAGACAAATTTGGCGAGTTCATCCCTGGAAGCGGCTTTGCCCTTTCAACAAGCGCAAGGTGCCAAGTCCCATGGCACAACGCACGTTGTGGCGGAGCCTCATCAACATAGTTCTGGATCATCGCAGTCCTTTCCTCTGAATTCAAACGGGTCTCAAGTTGGTGCCGTGGCTCCACACAGTGCCTCGACAAGGTCGCCGAGCTCCTGAAGGCCAAGCAAGGCACAATACTACGATGCACTGCGGACGACGCGGGCTGATGCTGGAGGAATCGATCCTTGGTAAAGTCGGTTACGTGGGTAGACGCCATCTCTGAGCTGCGTCTCACAATCACATGGCGACAGCATGTAATTCTTTCAGGCAAACGATTCCTACAGTAAAGTTCCCAAGTGTAACTTACATGGTGCATGCTTCAACGGCATCACCTGCACCCGTGTTTTCGCAGCAATGGACATGAAACGTGCATGTTGTTTTGAGCCTTTCGGCTCACGGCGAAATCTCCTAGTGAATTCTGTTCACCACCACTGCCCTGCCTCTTCACGTTGCGTCCGTCCTCACATTCACGCATAATGTTTCAAAGCTTGAGGGACTCAACTTCGTGCTAAACACCTCATCATTGTGATGCCAGCCGTGCCAACCCGCAGGACTCGGACTTGCAAACTGGCCACTTAACGCAGAAAGCCCGGGCAACCAGCGCAAACTAGATTCAGAAACCAACAACGGTAATTCAGAAATAACAATGACAATCATACAACCATGCCCATGCCCCCAAGCTGCGACGGCAACAAAGCCGCCCAGCTCCATCCGAATCCAACCACACTTCCACCACCCTTCCCTCCCTACCACCTGACAAATTGAGGTTAGGGTTGTTTGCTTGGGACTCCCCTCACCACCACCCTGACCCCCTCCCACTGCCCACCCGCCCCACCCCACCCCACCACTCCACACCCACACGATGAACGAAGTCGTACTTCCTGCAACCAAGCAGAGAAAAGATCCTAGGCATGATCTTGCTTCTCATCATCGAGAAAGCTTCTCGTGGTCTGATCCATTTGTCCAGTCCGGACCTTCAAGGCAAAAAAACACCGAATCGGGCCTGAAAATTTTTTGTTGAACAGTTCCCTTCCTACACACATAGAAAGCCTGTCACCGCTTTTGCAAGCTCTTTGGAGCCAGGCTCTACACACACTCCAAAGTTCGAAATTCAAAAAGCATTCGAACTCCAAGGCTTGTCTCGCTTATGTACGTGGGGGTTTGGGATTACTTTCCACAGAGAGAGGTTGCGTTGCATGCGTCAGAGTCAGAACAACAGGGTCCATGCGGTTTTTTGCACCGCCACTCACGAGCAAAACGGCTAAGAGCAACGGAAAGGTTTTGTTGTGCCGCTACTTGACTTGCCTCAAGATGAACCAAAGATGAACCAAACATGATTCGATGATGGTTCGCAACAGCGTAGAAAAGACTGACAACCGAAGTTGTCCGAAATCGTGGCAAAACCCCACAATTCCTACTACTTGTCTGATCAAACTGAAACCTGTGCTGGTTCACCCCGAAATCGGATTTCCAACACCAAGGTCTGAGTTCTGACTTTGCTTCATGGGCGCCTCAAAAGCTTAAAGCGTGCCCCCGTTAGTGCTTTGGCTTGCGCGGGCTTCGTCGACAGCACCAGCTGCTCTCAGTCGCGAACTAAACAAACTACGAAAGACAAAAACACAAACAAAAAGACAGCCGTGAAACGAGAACATAGGCATTTAAAGTCCGCAGACAATGGCTGCGGCGAGCAGACTTGACCGAGCTGCACAATAAATCGCCCATGCCCAGCTTCCCACCATGGTGGGCCTCGCAAGGGCAAGGGCTAATCGGAGCAAGAAAAGTCCCGGCAATGTGGGACGCAAATCGGTAGCGGAGATCGCAGGCGCGTAAGTGGGAGCTCATCCAAGGGCTCCATGGAAAAGTAAGGCAGTCTCGTTAACCCAGGCCATCCCACAGCCCAGGGCTGCACGTCAATTAATGCCGACTGAATGGCCTCGGCGCGAAAGAAGTCCGAGCCCTCGTACAGCCCGAGGACAGTCCGACAGACGAGGCGCGACGCCGAAGCCAGCACCACTAAAGCCTCGAGATCGATTTGCACAATGGTGGCGCGCACTTGAAAGCCAAGTCGTACGATCAACTGGAAATTGGTCGCGACCCTGAAGCCATCGAAAGTGCGTTGCGCCAAGCATGTAGAGACTCGGCTTTGATACTCTGCAAACTGCTGTCGAAGAGCGAGGCCTGCTGCCTTTCGCTCCTGCGGACCAATAGCGCAGAGCAACTGCCGAGTGGCAGCCGATGGTGGGGCACCAAAAAGCACCGGCAGCGGATGCACAGAGACGTACGTGACTGCTTGTGCCACAAGATTCTCCGGAATCGTGGCCATGGCTTGTCACCTAACTGTGCTATGAGGACCGATGCGGCAGCGAGGATGTGAATGGGCAGCACACCAATCAATACAGTGCTGGTCGTACACAGCGGCTATGCAAAGCTCGCAAGGACAATGACGATCTCTCAACTGCCTCCTCCGACAACGGCAGGTAGATGCGAAACCGCCCCTGGTATACCGGCGGGTACGCGAAGTTGTTTGGATCCACATGCGGATGGTGTACAGCCACCGCTCCTCGTTCCCAGGCATGCCTGATACGCCGCCCCACTTGCTCTTGTCAGGGGCAGATTTCTCGCAGCGCGAAGGACGCCGACAGTCGCACTCCCATATGGTCGTGCCTACCCTCGTTGGCGGCTTGCTGATCACTGTCTCGAAAGACCTCCAGAACCCACGTGGTAGCTGTCAGGATGGTCCACGAGCACGCGCAAAACCAGAAGGAGCACCTGTATCGGCAGAAGGGCACTGCAATACTGTAGTGGGGAAAGGCGTCGTCCCCCTCCCCCCAGGGCCATGACTATGAAGCTACCGTCCCTGGCCAGCGGAGATGATGTGGTGGCCTGATCTGCCTGCTGCCATTGCGCGGCGATTTCATCCACCAGCAGCCACCACCAAACCTATGGTCGCGACAATTCCCTCCACGAAAGGTCATAGGCTTGGTCGTCCGCAAGATGCTGGAGCGGCTCGCAGAGCTCCGCCAGCGCCGCACTGATGGCGATGAGAGGATTGACGCAGAGGCGCCACGCTTCGTCCTCCGTGCAGCACCGGAGCCGCATAGCTCTGTCGGCAAAGCTACAAATGTCGCATCCAAGTTGATCAACGTTGATGCGTATTGACCCTGCCGTGAGGGACATCGGCAGTGACAATAACGTGTCACAGGCCGCTCGAGAGGGGAGGATGCCGCGTAAATATTCCACGTGGTCGCTCACTGCTTGCTTACATGGGGGGGGCGCTCCCGCCCTGGAGCGCCATTCCCGTAAGATTTCCCGTTGCAGGGTTCAAGTGGCTGGATCATACGTGGGCGCCACGTTGCTAGTGAGCCCTGTCAGGGTGGGGCAGTGCCGGGTGGGGTGTGCGTCCAGGGCTTGAAGCAATTCATCGAAATCCTCCTGCCATGACTTGGTCTGGAAGATATTGGGGCAGCCCGCGCTATACAGCTCGTCCACATAGGCGGGGTCTTCCTTAACACCGGCTCCCGAACTGACTGTTCGCTGAAGGGTTGTATGGCCGCGCCTGCATACCCGCTGCCGATAACCCCGTTGAGAGGGTGCCATCGTCGCTGAACCGAATAGAAGCAATGTCGACTCCAGCCCCTACCAGCATCCTGAGGCGATAACGGAGGAAGCTCATGAGCTCCTGCGTGGTGTGGTCTGCAGCAATGTGTGCAAAGTAGTAGCTACCCGGGAGGGAGGCTACCGCCCATCTCGTGTTGTGTCCATTCGCATGAACCTCAGTAGCTTCGCCATCAACATCCACGCGGCTCTTAATGCCTCGAAAAAGCGTGTCCTCAAAGGCTTCATAAAGTCGAGCCGGGGGCTTAGTCGCACTCCCCCAGTATGCTCGCAAGCCACACAAGGAAAGCTTACAGCTGTCCTCGTCATCCAGCGTAACTGCATAGGGGTCAATCGTATCAAAGACCGGAAAAAAGTAACTGGCCGTCATGGATTGTCCGCGCCGCCCGGTCAGCGTTTTGTCGGGGCCTCGTAAATGCAATTGGGCCCGGTGCTGTCCCGCATCATCATCATATACCACAACCAATAAAGCCGTGGCGTCCACGATGGGCGGGAAACCGCCGACATTCCATTTCTGGTGGAAGTCCCTCACGATGTCCTGGTCTCCCCGAAGAGGCCGCTGCCATCTCGGCGGTAACCCCTTATCAGCGCACATCGTACGCCAGTGCATGAGCGAGCCATGGAGTTTGGCGTGCATGCGTGCAGCAGCAAGCAATCCTGAAGCGTGGGCCGGAGACACCACTAAAAGCAGCCCAGTTCCCCTTGTAAGCGCCGCCGTAAGTCGCTGATGCACTGCTTCCCCACACCCAGTAAAGTCAGCAATCCTATCGACCATACAGAGGTTGACGGCTCCCGTGGATCCAGCGCAAGCCGTAGCTGAGAACAGGTCGATAAAGGGGGCAAACTCCGCGTGTCGGTTGTCCAAGAACCTCCACACCGCCTCAGCTTGCTGGACCGTGGAAACCTGCTCCGGCGCTGGGAGTGACGGCTCCAGCTCGCGGGCCCATTCCGCAAGGAACTTACCTTTGACTCCCTCGTTCGAGTGAAGCTGCTCATGTTGATCCGTCAGCCCTGCATTGCTCAGCCCTACAAAGGACTGGAAGTTGTGGAGGAGACGATTGGCCGGATTAACCAGCACAATGCGCTCACCTCCCAGGGCGCATATCCTGTGTCCTTGCGTGATGTAAAGATGAGTGAGGGCCCCCAGAGAAGGCTCCGTAGGCTGTCCTGCCTCCAGACACGAAGCCTTTCCTCCGACTCAGGGATCTCCAGGAATTGGAGTCCCGGCTGCCATTGACCATGCGGGTCGCGAAGAGCGTTCTCCCTGGCAGTGCTCGAGGACGCCAGCCTGCCAATAACAGGCAATCCTGGCGCTCTCCCAGGAGTGAGCTGCCACTGCACAGCCTGCGGGTAACGAGACGCTGTAATCAACAGGTAGACTTCCGTGAGCAGACGTGCCGAGCTGACTAAGCCAAGGTTGAATACTACCCCATTGACAGCTTCCATGCCCTCAGCTTGGAAAGTACTTCGAACAGCCTTGAGGCGCGTCCCCATTGCAGCAAGATTTGCCATGTATGTAAGGACTCCATGGGGTCCAGCCGATTCAACCGGCGCCGCAAGGACAGCTATGTCATCGTCTGCGATCTCCGGGCAGGCAAAGCGCGGCAGGCCCTGCACTCGGAGCAGCGCGGCATAAGGGACACGGCTCGTGACTCCTTCTATATGGTCACATCGCAAGCTCTTTCTGCAGGGACGTCCCTGAAGAGGGAGCAGTACCTTGCATCTCTCTCCTTTAGAACCCGTAGGGTTATCATTATCACTCCTTCTCAGTTATACTCACAACAACGCCTACAATTGTTCGGACATATTCACAGACATCCAGAATCTCTAGAAAGTCAATGTACCTACATGACATCACATGCGTACAGACATATCAGGGCCCCTAATGGATCAGGTAGGCCACGCATACATTGGGCTGAATCCTGCATGACTCAGGCCGCAGAACGCATCGATCATTTACTCTCGGACGCTGCCCCTTCCCATGAACAAATCCAACATAGCTTCTATCAGTTGCCAAATTCTAATCGTATCGCTGCAGCACACAGCTCTTCTGGTCCAGTATGGATGGATAATACGTCCCTGTACCGCAAAGTGCAACCACGCTGCCAAGACCGTCAATTTTGGTCGAAAGTTGTACACAAACCTCCTAAGGGCCGTGCTTAATTTAAGCCACCAGTAACTGAATTAGGATAGGTCGGTGCTGATGGGCTAGTAGACGAAAGCCTTTCGCGTTCGAAAAAATGTCCTAAAGGTCTCGGCGTCGTCTTTGACAGGCGATGTCCGAAATTGGTTCTCCCATGCCGAGCGACAGTACCCGCAGGAGGGCTCGGTAGTGGTCTTTGAGGCGGGGGGCGCCGCCGGCGCAGAAGCTCGTCGGAGTCTTTACGGATCTCTATCTGTCTCGCCGAAAGCGCGAGCCCTTGTCGCTGGGCGTGCCTACGCCCAATGCCACGAAGCCCATATTGCATAATGACGCCCCCCTCGCTACGGAGATGCATATGGTTTTGCTCTTCCTGCAGGCGTGCCGCATTGTCGCGACTGGCAATCTATATGACCCGGACGGTGCTAATTCAACCAACTGGGCAGCCCACAGAGCTGACCTGCAGCAAGCTAGAGTGAAGCCACATTCGTGGCGTTCACAGCGCTCGGTCGGCCCTTCGTGGGAGGTCCCCCGCGGGGACATGCCGCGGGTTTACATCGAGGCAGCCAACCTCAGAGGCAAAGCCTTCTGTGAACTGATTAGTCGGTTGTTGGACGATCCCGACGGCCTTCTTCTCGCTCACATACAGGCGATCCTGGTGACGAGAGGCTGTCAACGCACCTCCCTTAACATATTAGGCTGTCCAGGCGCGTCCAAAACCTTTCGCTCCTCCTTGCCTTAATGTATATTGATGCCGTCCTGGACTTCCCAGTGGTGTGGACGTCCCAGCAACATGCAGCGTTGCTGGCCGTGTTAATGATATCCCACAACATCTTGGCTGATGCGCCGCTTTGGCTGCGTCGCCTGATGGTTGTCCGACGGGTCTCTGGCAAGCAGGAGCTGTTCTCCACCGTCCACGATCATGTGCCGCTTGCACATGGTGCGGGTCCTAAGGGCAAGGGCAAAGGCACGGAACCCGCCGAGCACGAGGGGACAGGCTCAGCTGAGGCGGCGAGCGATGATACACCTCCCCCTCTGGCGAAGGCTCGCATCTTGTTGATCACACAAGGCTCCGGGGCACAGCAACTAGGCCGCTGGCGATCTGAGGTCTTGACGGCGCTGGTTCGGTGCCGCGCCCTCGTCATTGACGAGGGACAACAAGAAGGGCATTCAGAATCTGTTAACGTTACTGAGGCAGCGGTGGATGCCCTGCTCATCCGCACTGGTGATCCGAAGCAACCCACTGGAGGAGGCGGCAATGACATCCAGTTCGCCACCATAGGCCGGCTCTTCCAGAAACGGGTAGGCATACGTGGCGTGGCCAGCACGGGGTTCCCACTGATACAACCATTGCAGGTGGGAAGAGCCGTGAGCAGGCTTGTAGAGTCAACTCACCTCGGACCGGTGAGGGTGGGTGCCTTTGCTTGCTTGGCGGACTGGGCACGCCGGCTCTTCTTAGTGTCGGAGCCGGGTTGGAGCATTGGGAGTCCGATGGGTCAAGGATTCTACGGTAAAAAGAGGACTTAATTTTATTTTCACTTGTGTAAAGTTATCGCGTGGACCTGAACAATGCATGGATGCCATACGGAAAACTATAATTCAATCAGCTGGCATCAATCGAATCATAAGGAGAAATGTTTATCAGGAAAACAAAACTTCTCCAATCTGTATGTTAATCATAATTGCATATCTCAAGAAATCGCAACGCACTCACTCGACAGCACAAGACTTTTCCTCGTAGGTGGCATGGGGAATCCGTCGATGATCTCAGCTAGGGAAAAACTCTTGGACATCCCAAGTGAATGCGGTACATCCCGCTTCCCCCCGGGTGGGTGGGTGGGAGAAAACAAAAATTGCGCTCTACCTCAGAGCACAACGGCAACTGGAATTTCGCATCTTCGCATGGCTCAACAGTTGCATACTAACATGTAAGAGACGTTTGAAAACTCCAAGCGTTGATTTTGAAATAAGATTTCAAAATCAAACTTTCCACGTGAAAATAATACCGTACGCAGGCAGGCTGCGATGGTGGCTTATTTTCACTTGTGTAAAGTTACCGCGTGGACCTGAACAATGCATGGATGCCATACGGAAAACTATAATTCAATCAGCTGGCATCAATCGAATCATAAGGAGAAATGTTTATCAGGAAAACAAAACTTCTCCAATCTGTATGTTAATCATAATTGCATATCTCAAGAAATCGCAACGCACTCACTCGACAGCACAAGACTTTTCCTCGTAGGTGGCATGGGGAATCCGTCGATGATCTCAGCTAGGGAAAAACTCTTGGACATCCCAAGTGAATGCGGTACATCCCGCTTCCCCCTGAGAACATGTACCCCATTCACCCAAAGACTTCAGGAAGCGCGCGACTCAAGAGATTCACATCAAGATCGACACGTGGTGCACCTCGGATACTGACGCCACGCGAGGGGTCGTCGGCAGGATTGGAAGAGGATGGCACACGATCTAGCCAGCAGATCGTTTCAAGGCTCTCTTCGCAGCAAGCAAAGAAGTCGATCAAGGCAGCACAAGAAGCATTGTCACTATGGCCTCTGACGAAGCTTCCGAACACGCCCTCATTGTCAGTGAAAATGACCACACCTTTCCTCTCGACGTAAAAGCGAAAGGCCTCGAGGCAGATGCTGAGCACAAGCGCCTCGAGCTCGAAAATCACTGTCTCTCTTTCGCGGTCACCAGCTTTCAAAAGCTTCTGCACATGTACTGGCGAAACAGCTTGACCAAACCAGCACAACGCCTCACCAGAAGAGTTGAAGACTACTCCCCCCAAACCACAATGGCCGTTTGGCTCGAAAGAAGCATCCACATACACATGGACAAAGTCTTCACGTCGCGCCCTGACTGGACGTGGCCTGGAACTTTCAAGGAAACTTTTCAGCTGAGTGAGTGCGAGCCGCGTGAGTTGGTTAACGTCCCATCTGCGTTGCCTGGAGTGCTGCGACAACAACTTCAGAGCCGCCTTTGGTCGCCGACCAAAAATTTTGCAACAGGCGAACTGCAACCGACCCCTTAGCTTTTCACTTTCTTTAGGTTCAAGCTTCCCGGTTGCCAAAGCCCGCTCAATGTCACACAACGCCTCAGTCCGCCTCTTCACGGTGTTCTCCAAGTAAGCCAAACCGAGCTTGGCATCACGAAGGTTCACTTGCACTCCTAGGACGACGCAAAGCGCATCGTAGTTGAGCTCCTTGTCCTTCGAGATCTCCCACCCCAGCAGTTGGAAGAACATGGAGATTACCAAGTCGTTATGCCGAGCAAAGGCTTTGCCGCAAAGGTTCAAGTAGTCGTCAAAATATTCACTCCAGACAAGAGTCAACCCTACGGCACCTAATTTCCAAATGGCGTAAGCCGTTCTTATGAAGCTGGTCACACTGGCCGTTGAGCCGAAGGGAAGCACTCGCTGGCGATAGATTTCGCTCGCCCCACGCTCAATGTTGAAGAGCACAAAGAAACTATCTAAGGCATAAGCCAAATCCGAAAGGGGGAGTTGTTTATAGGCGGTACGCAGATCCCACGCCTTGCACACTGGCGTGCTGTGCTCTGGGCGCCCGCTGATGAACCACTCATTCAACCAGCAGGCCAGCATCCCGGCCACCACGTCAATGGTGTGCACGCTGACTTGCTCAACCTGCGTGACTGCAGCATTTACTTGAGAAGACAGGTAATTATCTATGGGCCTCACCTTTGGACCTTCTTAATTGCTCCCCTGAATGACTCCGAAACGATGCGTCAAGGACGCATCTTCAGGGATCTGGTCTGGAGACAAAGGTCCATCAACGAAGCCGCGCTCAAGTTCTTTCATCGTCGCTTTAAGAACACCCTGGTCAATCACAGGATCCTCCGAAGCTTTGATCGTGGCCAGAAGACCATCACGCAGTCTCTTAGCGCTGGATCGAAGCTGAGATTCACTCTGCTCCGCAGGACGAAAGCGTTTAGCGAAAACATTCGATCTAGGCAGCTTGCCCGTCAAGTCAAACCCATGAGCAATGTCTTTGACAAGGTCAACGTCCTCATGTCCCACTTCAAGCAACAGCTCCTCGAAAAGAGCGAGGCGTTTAGGACTAAGAAGATCCTTTCGAAACTGAGGAAGACCAGCCTTTAGCGCGCGCTCGGCTGGCTCTAAATCGGCTGCTCTGCTAACCCACCGGCGAAGTGTTGCGGTGCGCTCCTTGGCCACATTGGCCTCACCTTCTTTATGGATTCTCCGGACGGCACAGGAGATCTCGGAGGGCATGAGGGCGGAGAGCTGCGTGGGGTGCCCAACCTTGATTGCCTGTTCAACAAACTGTGATGGTGTGCGGTACACACCAATGACAGCCTTAGTCACGTCCCCAGGCGAGACTTGGGACCCCGAGGTCGCTCGATCAAGCACAAATCCCAGGCTCGTCAAGACAGAGGCGTGCTCAGCTTTAAGGTTCTTAGACGGGGATGCAAACACCTCTCACTGTGCGACCTTTGATTTCAAGCTCGACGTCACCCGCAGGATCTTCCATCCACAGGGAGCCATCAGAAAAATCTGATAGCGCAGCAATTGCATTGTCTGTGGAGGCTTCATTATTCGAGTCCCGATGTGGTTGAGCTGACACATCCCTGAACATCCCAACAGTTCCGAACTCCAAACCTGGAAAAAGGCCCTTGACATAAGAGCACATTGCTTTCACAGTTTCCGGGAACTGTTTGGTCGTTGATCGCACCCCGCACATCGGGCCGTGAACAAAGCTGCCACCTTGGAACGATTTCGCTCCAGCATCGCCATCCCAGCGAAGAGGTTCTGAAGGAAGCAAGTCAAGCAACAGGGACAAGTCTTTGCGGTGTACCTTAGGCAACTTGTTTATAAGCGAAGCCACCCGCTCAGCAGAGCCCGACATCATGGCTTCTCGAACCTCGGTATCGTCAGGATTCAGTCCGAGAGACGCCTCAGGACATCCAAGAACATTAGCAAAATGACGCTTTCTGCTAGGAAGATTCAGCACACTATCCGGCTCAAAACCCTCAGCACCTAACACACGAGGGGCAGCAGGGACTAAACCGGAACCAGGGGAAACAGCCGTGGGACTAGGGCCAACCTCAATCCCCTTGCGCACCATATGGGCACGAAGGACACGGCTACCTGCCGGAAAGCGCTCGATTGGCGGAGAACAAGCAGCAGCATCTCCGGGCTTCCACGGAGACGGAAGCTTCTGGCCAGGGCGCAAGAAAGAAGCGGCAAGATTGGAAGGCACAGTGACAGTGTGAACCGAAGCGAATTCGCTAAGCAGCGGAGGCACGCGCTTGCGAGTTTGGGCTCCAGTGAAGGCACGAGCGCCTTGGATGATGGGCGCGCCATCATCAATAGCTTTGGGAGATTGAGTTAAACTGTAAAACCCTGAGCGGTCACGCTTTTTTACTCTTGAACCAAAGGCGCTGCATCGGTCACATAGTATACAGCTATACAATACTATACCGTAGCCTGGGCTCACCAAAGGTGTGGGGCGTTCCTATGTACAGAATTCAACACCCTGCCTCGAAGTCCTTGTGCTGTACTTCGATCGGTCATTGGTCGGGCATACCTCCGCCCGTGACTGCATCGGCTTAGCCATTGCAAGTCCTTGGGTTAAACACTCCGTGCAACCCACCTTTTGACCGTCCCCCAATTAAGGAGGTGTGTCAGACCGTCCTTGCCTTGACTCGTACAGTAACAAGTACTTCGTCCTAGTGAAACATTCCACACAAACTTCCTGCGTTAGCGCTCTTCCTTCTTTTGCGCTTTCGCTGCTGTGCGTTCCGAGGTGAAACTTTTTCAGTCTTGCCTACACTCACTTCTCTGCCTCATACTCGTACACGATGTAGGTCTTACTGACTTCCGAACAACGTTCTCTGTTCTGTGCTGTCCGGCGTACCTGGATCTACATCCATTGGCTTCGAACTCCCAAACAGGTCCATCGGGATTTCCGACCCTTGTGCGCGTTCTTCTGACGCGTCATACATCTCACTGCATTGTTCGCAATACTTCTCATACGATTCCTGTGCTTCTGGGGATAGCATCTTGTTCCCCATCTCTTCCACGGTAATCATCCTTCCGCGGTACTCGATCATCTCCGGCTCTTTCTTCCTTTCCGGTTCTTCCTGGATTTCCACATCCTGCTTGTTTCTTCCAGATGTGACTTTTCCACCACGTCGGTAGTCTTCCTCACTTATGATGGGCATACGCACACTCTCTGTGTGTACGATTGATGGTGTTCCCATCGCTGCTCTTCCACGTCTCTTCAAAGATCCTTTTCCATTGCCACTCTTTTGTCCGGCATTCCAGGCATGATCCACTTCATCCGTTACACGGGTCTCTTCCTTTTCCGTGGCATTACCCGTTCCTTCCGTTACTGCTCTGTCATAACTTTTCCTCCATTGTTCCGTCGCATATGTCTTGATGCATTCCGTGCAAGAACATTTCTGGTGGTTTACCTTCTCCCTTGTACACATTCGTACTCCTCACCAGTAGCACTTCTTTGTGCATCCACCATTTGACTCTACTTCAAAGTCAAGCTCCATTACTTCCCAGTCGCTTTCGTCTGGGGTCGGTGGCTCTGCGCGCTCTCGGCGTCTTCTCGAGCTTCCTTCTGGCTTCGTCTCTGGGAAACAAATCCAACATGCCCTAAAGCCATCTTGTTCAGCTTCTTGTACGTCCTTCCAGACCCACCGGCCTGGCTTCTTGTGTGACCCTTGGGCATGCCAGCAAGTAGCACGGTGATATACACGTGCACGGCTTCCCGTACTGATCTTCACACGTCCAATACCTCGCAGGTTTTCCAAAATTCTTCCAAGCTTTGTCCATACCGTGATAACATACGGCACTGCGAGTAAAAATACGCATACCATCATTCCAACTTCAAACTTCGTGAAGTTTTCATCCATGGCGCTCATACCTTTTTCCAAGGTTCCACAGGTCTCTACTTGGGCGTCGGATACTTCCTCCTTGAGCAATACTGCGTTAATCGGCTTCATCAAATGAAATACCTGTATGGCCCTAATGAGACTCTTGATTTGTCCGCTTCCGACATACTCCTTCAACTTCTTCTCTTGTTCATGTTTTTCATACTCTTTCTCTCCAGTATACTCCAAGTTTCCTTCTTCATCATACTCTACTTGAGACAAGTGGTACAGTAGAAATGACCTTCGGGCATATGACAACTTCTTGGTGTTCAGATCCGCTACATTTAGCGCGGTTCGCACTGTACCAAGTTTTACAAGATTGTCTCGTACCCAATCTTGCAGTTGACACAGCCTAACGTCCACATGCTTCAGACGTCCAACTCCTCGTCGTTGACTCCACTGTCGTGCAGATGATGAATCGCACCGTATCTCCACGCGTACAGGCGCGTTTACTAGGAACTCAAATAGCCTTCCGACTAGGATTGCTTCTCCACAAGTTCCACTTAGTGCATACAACTCTGCTTCACAGCTTGATGATGATGTGGCCTTCTGAGTCCTAGAAAATGATAACACTTGCACTCCGTTCAGTACAATGATTCCTGATGAGGTACTCTTCCTTCGGGCTCTGTCCGGGGTTTTCAGGCTTGCCCAATCACTGTCCGAATACGCTTCCACCACATGTCCTGCATCCTTGGCAATTTCTTCGTCTTCTTGGCCATTCAACTTCGTGATCAACCGGCTTCCGATTTCGGTATACGGTAAAAGAGTAGCCCTTGTGGCTGTTCCACTCAAATACAGAATCAAGTGCTTCAGACACTTTAGTGCCTGCAACGTCGGCTTCGACATACTTGATGCCAAACACTTTGAGGCATACTGAATGTCAATCCTGTCCTGTGCAAGGTACAAAATAGATCCGAGTCCAGATCTAAACCGTTTTGTCTCTTCAGCACTCAACTCCTTGGTCCGGTCTTCCTTCACCAGATCACATGCTCTGGTGTGGCCTTACTCTTTAACTTTCCAAGGTCATACAACTCAATGAGCTTCCGAACATACTTCTCATTCGGTTGGACAACAATTCCTTCTCGGGTGAAGACATACTTCCTTTTGAGATATCGCATCTCTTCTCCACTTCCGACTCCATTCGCTGGGTATGGTCCTTCTTTCTCCACCTTGAATACTTTCTCCAATTCTTCTACCAACCAAATGGTTTCCTCCTTTTCTCCTGCTAGTAGCTCGTCATCTACATGGATAGAGATACACAGCTTCCTTGTGGTGTGTCTAGCTAATGCGGGTACATGTACTGAGAACACGAATCACGAATCCCAGTTTCTCAAGTATACTCCGCAAATGTTCATACCACCTTGTTGCGGCGTTTCTTTGACCAGGTAAGCATCTCTTGAGCCTCCACACTATTCCTTCTTTCAGGTTCGCGGCTCGCTTCATCCAATCACTAATTGTGATTAGCACCTCTTCTTGCTGCGGGACCTGGAGGTACGCGTCCTTTATATCAAGTACGACTACGACCCAGTTGTACACCAGGTGTAACAACAAGACTAGGCGCGACGCGGCATTGCTTGCCGTTGGGCTGAATGTCTCAGCTGTGCTGCTCGCACCTGCCCTGTACTCCCTGGCCACTATACGACACCGTCTTTTCCAGCGTCCGTCACGATGCCTCCAGTCGTAAACTTCACGCAAATCCATGCGTTTTTCATCACCTGTTGCGTTCGCCTCCATGAATTCCTCGATTACTCCTAGCTTACTGAGGCGATTCAATTCTTCCACGGCTGCTTCCTGATCCAAGGTATCCAGTTCATCTGGACTTAGCTCGGGTGGTGTTTCTCCTTGGTCGTTCTTTGGAACTTCTTCCATCTCTTCTTCCATGAGATCTTCATACTCTACGTCTTCTCCTTCTACTGCTGTGAGATCCTCATGTTCATCCCAGTGAAAGGGATCATCTTCCTGAGATACCCTGCCTGCGAACAATGGCGGGTAGATTCCTCTTGAGGGCGACGATGGTGATGATGGCATTTCTCGTGACTTCTTTGGCGATCCTTCTACTTCCTGTCCTCCTTCTACAGCTCTCTTCCTGAGGTCTTCTAACAACGTATCGTCACTGACACGTCCTTCTGGTTCTCCAGGTGGTGCGTCCTGCATTGAACTTGAACTCCGGGAATGAGAACTAGATCCCGTGCTGGTCATACCTCCGTTTGAGGCCCTGCCTCCGCTTGAGGCTTCGCTTGTGTCTAAAAGATTCAACAGTTCCTCGACCTGTTCCTCTTGGGACTGTCCTCGATCTTCCGCACGAACTACGGGTTCCTGTGCTGTTCC